TGCTCATTTTACTACATTTTTCGAGTCTATTTTACAAAGACAATATACATGGCGTTATATAGCCTCATAATTAAAACCCTTAACCTTCCATGAGGCATTCCAAGAGTTGTAACTTTTATATTTTATGACCATAATTAACCACGATGTATACTTTATGACCATAATTAGCTACTATGTAAATAATCCTTAAAATACATTAAAGAAACACCATAACTATAAATTATCATCTATCATAAATTTGTAACCATCTAAGAATAAATGAAGCCGCACTTGAAGTATCTTGAAGTATTTGTTCCATAAATGAAGCTGGATTCTTCTTAACGTGGCATTAATATTACATGATCGAGATGCCTTAGTTCATATCATGGATGTTTCCATCCCCACCCCCACATTCATTACACTAAAAAAAATCCTCCATCATAATATAATAATCTCTATTTCTATGATTCTTTTGTTTTTTTTTTTATGTAAGCTTAAGAAATATTTGGCCTTTAGCCTTTAGTGTTTTTGCACTTTTCACATGTCATTAAGTCTCATATTTCCTGTATATATAAGCTTGTAATCCCTTGATCTTTGTTGCAGGAGACGGACATGGTTGCTGTAGTGCTGGTTTTTGCAGCTTTTGTTTTAGTATTTATGCCATTTAAGTACATAATTATGCTAGCATTAGTAGAGGCATATACAAGGGAAATGCCATACAGGAAGGAAACCAGTTACAAATGGATTAGACGGGGAAGGGAATGGTGGATTAGAATTCCAGCAGCTCCTGTTCAGCTTGTCAAACATGATGATAAGAAAAAGAAATCATAAAGCGAGTTGATGGGTCGAGATTTTGCATATCGTCTCATCACCATAGTGAAAATATTTTTGTATGTATATATATGTCTCGAGAAATCTATATTTCCTTAAAAAGATTATAGTCGCATGATTCTCATTATATTTGCAGTGGGTAGCTCACACAGACACGCACGCTCACACGCACGTTACAATAGTTAGAACACGAAAAAGAAAGAAAGAAAAGGTTTTGTAGTGCCAAGATATGGACTAGGCAATTCAGATTCTTCTGTTCAGTGGGATAGAGGATTTAGATGGGTTTGTTTGATATTGTTTAGACCATTTCTAGGAAGTTCTTTTATTGTAAATATTTTGTTGTGAGAGTTGTTTATTGGCTTTAATGGCTTTTAAAAAAACACTTATTGACTTCAATACTTTGGGTTCAGGTCTCAGGTCGTATAAATATTAGTTTTCTAAAAGAAAGAGGATAAAATTTGTGTATCTGTCCTACGTGACAACCAAATTATTTAGGTACCATTGGATTTGTATCTTACCATGTTCTTCTACTCTCTCTTTCTCTCTCTAAAGCTACGTGGACTCTTCAGAGATCTTAAACTTTCATAAGTGCATCAAACTTAAACCGTTTATTTAAATTTATAACTATTTTTATTTTGTTTTATTTTGGTACAAAATAGAAAATACAAAAATTCGGGACTAAATTGTTATTTTTACAAGAGTTTATGTAACCAAAGCAAACTTAGACGGTTCATTTAAATTTATAACTATTTTTATTTGGTTTTGTTTCGTTACAAAATAGAAGATACAAAAGTTGGGGACTAAATTGTTATTTCCGAGAGAGTTTATAGACCAAAAGTAGTACGTTTTTATAAACAACAAGAAGCAATAATTGAGAAATTTTCAAAAAAAAAAAAAAAAAAAAAAAAAAAACCTCAAAAATCATTTTAAAAGGTATAATCTCTCTTAATTTTGATGAGAAAAGTTTCACTTTTATCCTGAAATTTTGAAATATAGTTACAAATAATATTATGAGCATGCAATTTCTAATTTTTATGCATCCGCTTACCAAATTTTATTTTTTATTTTAACAGAAATATATATTTTTAAAAATATAAAAGCAAATTAGAATCAAATTGTTCGGTTTAATTCAATCAAAATTTATTAATCAAAACCCTTAAGTAGTTTCGGCAACCAACTTTCACATTACAAGACAGTCTCACGAAATATATAATTTTTTTTAGTTCATATAATAGATAGAGATCGAATCATTGACTTTTGAATATCAATAGTGTGTTTTTAAGATACATTCAAATTAATTTCGGTTACTTTAATTCAATTCATCAAATTAAAATAAATATATGCATAAACAATTTTTTTAATTAAACACAAATTCTGGTTTCAAATTAAATTAATTTTAGAAAAGTTTTTCTTTGTGTGAACACAATTCAATTAAAAATAAAAAATAAAAAATAAAAATTCAACTTAAATGGTACGATCTGATCAAGCTTTTAAATTATAGATTCTTTTTTAACACATTTTTTTTTATTTTAAAAGATAAAAAATACATATTTTTGCGATATATATATATAAAAAGCATAAGCCATAAACCCAAATCGGTCTTGTAGAAACAAAATCATCAAATCCATATCCAATATCAATACGCCTACGCCTCTTCGTTCTTCTTCTTCATTTTTTCTGGCGGCCGTCTCCGGTTCAGCTCCGGTGGAAGCTATTCTTTCACAATTCAAATCAGCATGCCGTCGTCTTCCTCCAATTCATCGTCGCCGGAGAATAGCCACCTTGATGCTCTTTTATGCTCTGTTCGTCCTTTCCTTCGCGGTGAACTTGAAAAGGTAAACACGAACCTTCCCTCTCTCATCTCTATCCTCCGTTCCGTCGGTGCCGGCGAGTGTTGGCACAAGCACGGCACCTTCCTCGATCACCTCGTTGATATCTACCGAATTCTCAAAATCTGGAAAGCTCAAGAGCCGGTTTGTTTGTGCGGCCTCTTCCACTCTGCGTATTCCAATTCCTACGTCAATCTTGCGATTTTCGATCCATCTACCGGCCGCGATATTGTTCGTGGCCATGTCGGTGAGGCGGCGGAGAGATTGATTCATCTGTTTTGTATCGTTCCTCGGCAGCATCTAATTCATGACGATCTTCTTTTCCGCTACTCCGATTCGGAACTCGTCGAGCATCTCAAAGTTTCCGAGGCATCGCTGAAGAACGCCGTGGAAAACGGACATTTCAACGACGATGAAACCTGGAGAAAGAAACTGCAGTCGATTCTTCCAGCCGATGGCATAACCGTGAAGCACATCAAAACCGGAGAAGACGTGATGGTTTCGAGGCGAGTGGTTGCGATTTTCCTCATGATGACGATAGCCGATTTCAGCGATCAACTCTTCGGATTTCAAGATTTGTTGTTCGAAAACTCCAACGGACGTCTCGAATTCACAGGTAATAATTACACATCTCTCTGGCCTGGAAACGGCAAGCCTGGACTATGGATGAACTCCTCATCAAGAATGGGAGCGATCTACTCCTTAATTGCGAGAGAGGAAGCCATTTTAATCGCACAGAGAAAGCGAAACGGCGAATTGGGGCACAAAACAGATAGAGACGAGGATTTAGACCTAGTAATTCCCCCAATTTTCAGTAACTGCACAAGAATTCTTGACGCAGAGGATCAAATTACAGCAAGGGATTCATACTGGGAAGGTATTTGCAAAACATCTGAAAGAACTGAGGAATTGCTGTTGAGATGTGTGGAGAAGAATCCGTTTGTTGGTGAGCCGCATGTGGCGTTGGCGCAGCTGTATTTGGGGAAAGGGCGGTTTGAGGAGGCTGAAAAGGAGGCCGAGGAAGGGGTGAGGCTGATGCTTGAATGGGGCAGCGCTTGGGACAAGAGGATGCCATGGGATGGCTGGATTGCTTGGGGAAGAGTGCTGTTGATGAAAGCCAAAGAGAGGACATGGACCAACACATCATGGGGAATCCTCAACTTGGGGCTTGTAAGGTAAGAGAAACTAAATCTTCACTATGTTTTGATATTAATTAGTCATATCAATTGTGTTCATAAATAGAGTTTTGTGAAGAACATTCCATGGCTGTGTTGCTTGCATCTGATGTTGATATAATAAAACTTGGGTGTTGTTTGATCATAAATGAAGTTCATTAGCATCATAATTGAAGTTGTCGCCCATTTGCTTCAATGATTAACATAAATGATTATTCGATGTTAGTATATGTTAGGAATCACGGATCTTCACAATGGTATAATATTGTCCACTTTGAATATGAGTATAAGCTCTCATGATTTTGCTTTAGACTTCCCCAAAAGGTATCATAGATGTATTCCTTTACTTATAAATCCATGATCAATCCTCCCTTTGAACAAAGTACACTATAAGTAGCCCTTGAGGCTTATGGAGCTCTCGAATAGTCTTCCCTTAATCAAGACTCGGCTCCTTTCTCTCGAGCCCTCGAACAAAGTACACCATTTGTTAGACACTTTAGTCACTTTTGACTACATCTTTGAGGCTTACAATTCTTTGTTAGATATTTTGAGATTCTATTGTCATGACTAAGTTTAGGATAGGACTTTGTTACCCTGTTTTAAGAATCATGGATCTTCTCAATAGTATGATATTGTCCACTTTGAGCATAAGTTCTCATGAATTTGGTTTGAATTTCCCTAAAAGACTTTGTTACTAACGGAAATGTATTCCTTTACTTATAAACTCATGGATTTATAATTAAAATATTTTGAGTTATTTTTTTTATTAGTTATCAATCGAGTGGGATAATAAGTGGAAGAATATACCATACCTCTCAAACATGTTCTGTTTTTGACTCTCCAAAGCCGTGTATATAAAAATCACTACAATTTTTCCGTAACTTGTTTAGAATCTCTTCTTTTATTCACGCAAGCTGCAAATTGGGTAATTGATGTTGAATTTTCTTCAATCAAGAGCATGCTCCCTAATTATTAGTATTTAAACAAAAGTGCATTTTCCATCCAAAAAGTTCTTGAATTCTTTTACAAAACAACCAAAATTGTTTTTGAACTTCATACATATATGCTTATAAGAGAGATGAAATATATAAATATGCCCATTTTTTTAATTTAAAAAATAGTATGTAATAAATGGATGAAATATTTGGCTTCTAAGAAAAATTGTTATAATGCTGACAAAGGTGTGTACGTCCAATTATAGTCGCATATTCCAAGAACATGCACCAAAATATGATATCGTTCAAACAAATGGCGGCCATAAAACTGTCAGAAAAGGCCGAAAAGTTTTACAAAAGCCCAACCCCATTAGCGACTAATATCTTTTAGTTTCAAAAACGTGTATGCTAAGAAGAAGCTTATCGATGTGGGGTCGAACACTAATAAGCATTTGTACTATATTTGCGTAGGCGGTTTTTGGTTAAATTAGAGAATTTACAAAAGGAACCAAGCGATGAAGCTGTTTCTAGCTGTTTTACTCATCTGTTACTTCCTCTGCCTCCCTCTCTGCAACCTCTTCTGTGTCTTTCTCATCCTGAACAAAGATCCCACATTAGCATTTGAATGAATAATCAAACAGATTCAGACAGTTGAGAGCTCAAATCTCACATCTTCGTTCTCAGCGTTTTGGGTTTCCAAGGCTTTTTTGTACTCTGCTTTCAGCTCAGCAGCTTTATCCTGGTAAGGCTTCTTCTCCTGTTAATCAATTTGAGTTTTAGATGACACAATTCATAAACATAGACGTGCTTTTAGATGGCAAGTGATCTAACTCACTTCATCAGTCATTGATTTCCATTTCTCACCGCCCTCCTTTGCAACCTGAAAAGATTGAAATACTCAATCAGGAGACCGAGCATCCAATAATTTGAGCATGTACTATAACAACCTAAGTCCATCGCTAACAAATACTATCCTATTTAAACTTTTCCTTTCAGGCTTCCAAGGTTTTTAAAACCTGTCTGCTAGGTTGAGATTTTCACACCCTTATAAAGAATATTTTATTTCTCTCTCTGACCAATGTGAGGTCTCACATTCCACCCTCTTCGAGTCCGGACATCCTCACTAGCACTCATATAGATCTCCAATTGATGTGGGATCTCACAGTTACTGCACAAAATGATATGCACAAAATGATATGGGTCTTTGCTAACCTCTTTAACACCTTTAGAATCAGGATTTGCTTCTTTAAATGACTTTCTGTAGTCGTCCCTGAAGTATTACAATTACTTGAAATTCAGTTAAAATTCAAGTAAATAGAAAATAACACTGTATAAATCTAATGATTCTGACAATTGAGAGCAGAAGGAATGAGGGAAATTTGCATACATGAAGATAAAGAAGGCTGTAGGAGGGCGCTTGGGGGCATTTGGATCTTTGTTTTTCTTCTTCCTCTTGTCCGTTTTGGATTTAGTGGCTTTTGGTTCCGATGGTGCTGATCTTTTCCTGTAGTTAATTTAACTCAAAACATCAGCTCAATCAGGTAAGAATAAAGAAAAACATGCAGAGAGAGGAGCATAGCGACCGATAAGACACCTTTCAGCTGGCTTTTTAGCTTGAGTTTGCTTCTCGACAGTCTGAGCCTCTACAGGAAACGAGAACAGTAAGAGTTCCAAATCAGAAAAGAATCCCAAAGAAAAAAAAATATTCACGAATCCACACGGATATTACCTAAATTCATTCTAATTTTAGTATCGAGGCTACAGCTGTGCATGCTGATTAGGGCGGCCGGAACACTTTTGCCACACTCATCACTGTAACAGCCAGAAATCAACCATTCAAATCAGAGAAATCAGATTCTTCCATTGTCAAGAAACTTAACGATGTTTTCATTAACTATCAAATTCAAACTAAAAATGCGAACAGAAAACCACACATTATTGTTGAATGAACAACAAACAATAAGGAAAACACCGTAAACCATAATCTCTTCCGACAATAATCGAAGAAATGGAACATTATGAATGTACAGTACGAACACACCAATGGAACCAACAAAAAACAAAAGCAGTAAAAACACGCCAAGTTATAAAGGTAAGAAATAATCGTACATCAACAAGAACGTTCATAACGAAAGCAAATATTTCATTCAACTTTAAAACACAATCGGATTAAGACGCAAGCAAAAAGGCTTACATTATCAATGCCAAAGCAAAAATCACTCCAAACACAACTTGTTCCGAAAATATTCGAAGAAATGGAGTGTTACAAAAGTGTAACACAGACGCCGATTCAACCAACGTAGAAATCAAAGCATAAAGAAAACAAGATTCAGGCGTCCTCTTTAGCTCTCCAACCAGTCGGTGTATAAACCATAACATCCATAGAGAAAATGGAAAGAAACACGCACCATCGAGCAAAAGCACTGCCGTCTTTGGCTCTCACAAGGGAAGGACCAGTGGTGGCGGCATCGGAGGGAGCAGCATCCACTCTCTTCCTCGAACTCGACGATCTTCGAACGGCCATTTCCTCCTCCGCCGCTGAATCGGTGACTCCGAAAATGCAGAACTGATGGTAATGGGAAGTCTTTCGCGGTTGAAAAATCAAGTGGCCACTATTATCTAAATTTTGGCGCGCCCTTAATCCTCGCATTTTTATATCGTTTCACGAAGATCTCTGACTTGGATCAATCTTCTACCGTTGATTTTATACAATTTTGTATCGACGTTCCAAATTCATACTCCCGTCAAATGGGCCTTTGATAAACCTGGGCTCGGTTTGTTGGGCCTTAGATAAACTTGGGCTGGGTTATTGGGCCTTGAATAAACCCAGAATTGGGCTTGCGATTGGTCTTGAGCTTGGGCTTGGATGAAACTTTTAAAGATTTTTAAATTAACACTTTTAAAAAATAATTATACATTACCAAAAAAAAAAAAAAAAAAAAACATTGAAGATCAAATTTAGAAACAAAATAATATTATCTATGAGTAATAACAAATAAAGAAAAGTAAATCGGGTTGGCATAGGAAATGGGGAGACATGTTTACAAGAGATCGAGATGGATTCCACCTCAACCGTGCCTAGTGTACGACGGGCAATATCACATAATTGTTATGGGTGTTTGAGGTTGAGTTGGATAGGATCGAGACATTTTTTAGATGTAGTTGTAAATTTTTTCAATTCAAATAATTCTTATTAAATAATGAACTCAACTCGATCTAACATGGTTCGGTTCATTTCTCACCTTCGTGTGCTTGATTTAATCAGACTCGTTTAGGCACCCTTGGTCTATTTTATGTGCTTGATTTAGTGAAGATTTGTCCGGGTGTGAAATTGGTTTGAAAGAGGCTTATCAGAGATTTTCTAAGGTAACTTTGTTTAAATAGGGTTAACGTTGTGGATTCACATAGGATGTACTGTTCATGTACCATATGGATATTATGGTCAAAAGGAATTATTCAGACATGCAATGTGGTTCTAGAGATGTCCAAAATTACAAAATACGAACCCGACCTTGTTTCCTCCACCACCTCTTATTGTTTTAAACTCTAAAATCGATAGGTAAGTAGACTCTTTTGATAGTGACATGTTTTTACCAATTTGAGCTTAGCGTAACTAGTTTAGTCAGTATGTCTTCAACCAACCAGTTAAAAGTCTAAATTAAACAAAAAAAAATTGGTAAGAACTCTCGTAATCAAAAGGTTCGAGCCACATGAATAGCTACCATAGCGCGTTTATTAGGTGGCTAAGTCAAATTGGTCCTTTAATCCCTCCACGAGGGACCAAGCAATCATGCCATAAATAACCTTTCACAAACTTTGGATAATAACCCATTATCATCAAAAGTTGAGTTTTCCTTTGATTTTTTTTTTTGACCAATATATACCTTTTAAATAATTTTCAAAAAAATAATTTTCATTTTCTAATATAATTTATATTAAGAAATATATATATATAGAGCAGCATAGGACCGGGCGAGAATTGGGAAAGAATTAGGGTCGAGAATGAGGATAGATAATATAATTTTCGTCCCAGTCCCCATTTAGCTGTCTAAGAAAAAAACTTTCCCCTCTTCTTTCTTCATTAATCAGATATTCTTCAGGTCATCCGTCCCATCGGGATGTGTTTGGACAATATTGCCCTTCTAAATAAAGGTAATTATTTTTTTACTATTTGCATTAGAATTTAGATGTAAAAATGACGTCATATTTGAGTAACAATTAAATGTGGGAGAAAATGAAAGTATTTTATTTGTATATCCAAAATGATCCTTTGATTGATTCTGACTAAAGCTTACACATTGCCTTTATTTGATTCCTTCTCCTTTCACAAATTTCTTGGGCAAATTTTAACCTTTTGGGACATAAAGTAAATATGGGAATTAAGTGGTCACTATTGTTAACATCACTCTTTTTTACCTTATTTTGTTTATATTTAATTTTCAATACGTGTCGATATTTAGGTCGATATTTCAAACATCTATGATGGTTCAACATTTGTTTGATTAGGGATTGCGCACGGGTTGAGTTGGATTGGAGAAAACTTATGGACCAATCCGAAATTTTAGGTTTTTTGAAGGGCTCAGAGAGAGAACTAAACATTTATTATAAAAGTGTGGAAACCTCTCCCTAATAGACACGTTTTAAAACCATGAGGCTGACGGTCATATGTAACGGGCTAAAACGGACAATATCTGCTAATAGTGGACCTGGGGTGTTACAAATGATATCAGAAACCAAATCAGGTAGTGTGCTAGCGAGGATATAGGGCCTCCAAGTGGGGTGGATTGTGAGATCTCACATCGGTTGCATAGGAGAACGAAATATTCCTTATAAGGGTGTGGAAACCTCTCTGGTAAACGAATTTTAGAACTGTGAGGCTATGACAAAATGCAGCGGGCTAAAACAGACAATATCTGTCATCGATAGACTTGGGGCTTCAACCCAATTCAATCTAAAAATAGAGGTATCCCCAACTCCAATTTGTGCATTTTTAGGTGTTTGATTAGGGTTCAAAGTTACCACAGATTATAAACGTCAAATATTTTAATTTTCATAATAATCTTAAATGATAAAGTTGAGTTGTAACCCTATTTACGGTTTGGTTAGGTTGATACTGTCAAAAAAAAAAAAAAATGTTAACTAACAAGCCCGACCCTAATTTTTTTGTTTTCAAGTTAGGGTCGGGCTCGTTAGTTAAACCCTAAACCCTAAACTCTACCCAAAATTAAAAAAAAAAAAAAAAAAAAAGTCTTAACTTATGGTTTGGTTTAGGTAGTCCAAATTGGTCGGGTTCTCAAATCATTTGAACACCCTTAAATCTGACAGGCTAAATCCGATTACTATGGTCTCATTATTCGACCTACGAATTCAAGCGGAAAAAACATGTTTTTAAAAGCTTATTTTTGGCTTTTTGAATTTGACCGAGAATTCAAATGTCTAACACACATCAACACTCAGAAAACTAATAACGAAATCATTCTTATCTCGGGTACCTAGTAGATTTTCCAAAGACATCTCTCCAAGACTTCGACACTCGACGTTTTTTTAATCACGAACGTATAAATGTATGCGATGCCTAATCGTTTAACTCGTCTCGAACGAAAAAAGGGGCGACAAAAGTAATGAAGGTTGATTTCACAATGTCATAAAAAGAGGAAAAAGCAAATGGCTTTACAAAAGCTCATTACTTGAATGAAGTTCAAAGGCAGACCAAAGCTCCTAGTGATGGCTTCACATGTGTACCTTAGTGGTGGCTCCCTTACTTCATCATTTCAAGACCTTCAATTATTTATTTATTTATTTATTATTTATAATAAGTTAAAAGCTTAAAGGGATCTCTTGGAACCTTACTGCTCAAATATCCTAATTTTTTTTTATTCACATCTCCTTTTTGCCCACTCTTTTTGACCCACTTTACATTGCCAATGTGACTTTCTTTTACCCATGGTTAACTCTTTTTCGACTCTTCGGTTAAATTTAAAGTTACTTTTTTCGATCTCGATCATGATTTTTGTGAGAGCTCTCATCGGTTGGAGAGAAGAACGAAACATTTTTTGAGAGGAACCCCTGAAAAAGAAAGACAATATCTACTAGTAGTCAGCTTGAGCTGTTGGACATCCTCTTTCATTTTTCCATTGCTAATGTTTGACCCTTTCTTTAACCACGGTTAACCCCTTTTCGACTCTTCGTTTAAATTTAAAGTTACTTTTTTCGATCTCGATCATGATTTTTGTGAGAACTCTCATCGGTTGGAGAGAAGAACGAAACATTTTTTGAGAGGAACCCCTGAAAAAGAAAGACAATATCTACTAGTAGTGAGTTTGAGCTGTTGGACATCCTCTTTCATTTTTCCATTGCTAATGTTTGACCCTTTCTTTAACCACGGTTAACCCCTTTTCGACTCTTCGTTTAAATTTAAAGTTACTTTTTTCGATCTCGATCAGGATTTTTGTGACAGCTCTCATCGATTGGAGAGGAGAATGAAACATTCTTTGAGAGGAACCCCTGAAAAAGAAAGACAATATCTAGTAGCAGTGAGCTTGAGCTGTTGGACATCCTCTTTCGTTTTTCCATTGCTAATGTTTGACCCTTTCTTTAACCACGGTTAACCCCTTTTCGACTCTTCGTTTAAATTTAAAGTTACTTTTTTCGATCTCGATCAGGATTTTTGTGACAGCTCTCATCGATTGGAGAGGAGAATTTAAAGTTACTTTTTTCGATCTCGATCAGGATTTTTGTGACAGCTCTCATCGATTGGAGAGGAGAACGAAACATTCTTTGAGAGGAACCCCTGAAAAAGAAAGACAATATCTACTAGCAGTGAGCTTGAGCTGTTGGACATCCTCTTTCGTTTTTCCATTGCTAATGTTTGACCCTTTCTTTAACCACGGTTAACCCCTTTTCGACTCTTCGTTTAAATCTAAAGTTACTATCAGGGTTTTTGTGAGAGCTCACATCGGTTGGAGAGGGAAACGAAACATTCCTTGAGAGAAAACCTTAAAGAGAAAGAGCTTAAGCGGCCATAGTTTTTGTAAAATATTGAAAAAAAATGGTTTTTTTTTTTTTTGTTATTAGTTCGGAAAAAATATTTTGTGTGATGGTAATAATTTTTATAGTGGAGTTCCTTTTTGGTGGGTTCGGGTTTTTTTTAGTTTTTCACGTAAATTGTGTTTTTTTAGTGATTATGTAAGGAGAGCAAATCTATTTAGACATAAAATTAGAGAGTTCCTACCCGACCTTGTTTACCTACTCCGTCTATCATGTTTTCTGCTGTGATTATCCATCCTGTTCGGGGCAAGTCCACTGGACATATGTACATATAATTGAAAGTAGATAGTTTTATTAGTTACTGTACTAAAGTTGACGTGTTACAAACATTTTCGGAGTGGGGGACTTACTAAACATGATATTTTTTAGCATCGAGCTTATACTTTAACCTAAAAAATGAAACCGAGCATTGTTTAGGGATAAGATTGTAGTTTAGCCGTGTTTGTCTACTATTCGCTTGCCCGTTTCCAATTATTGAACTAAAAAAAATTAAATTAAATTAAAAAAAAAGAGAAACTATTCAAAATGACAGATTTGCCCTTTGAATTTTGATTAATTAACAAATACTTGGCCCAAATCCCACAAACCCATTAGCTCCATCAACGGAGATTTGAATCCCTTCTTGTTGGATGTTCCCGATTATCGACAATCCCGACGGCGATGCTGCAAATGCGAAGCAAAATGTCCCTTCTCCGTCCACCGGAATCAGAAAGTTTCTCGCCGGAAGCGTCAGTATCGGCCCGCCGGAGAAGTAGAATGATACCGTCGGTACCCTAACTGATACGAACCCGTTAAGATCGTAGCACGTGTCGAAGATCGATACCTCGCGCGATCGTGGTAGGTTCGCCGTTTGCCCTATGAAAGTGTCTCGAAATGCTTCGTATGCCGGCACTGGCAGTCTCGTCACGGCGGTGCCGGTGTCCATCACCACGCCGCCGTACCCTAGATCGGTGAGTTCGAAGATCTGTTCTGGTATTGGAACTCGGATCCCTCCGACTCCGAGACCTGAAAGGCCTACGTAGTAGAAACTTGGAGCGCGTGGATTTCTGATTAAGGGAACCCACGCGCCGCCTACCGGCATAGCACTGCGGCCGAACTCCAGCGTTCCAGTGGACTCGGTTCCTCGACTCACCAAGCAGTAGCTGAACGCGCCGCCGGTCTGGCCGCCGAGTTGGCCAACGAACGACATGGCTCCGCCACCGAGGCCAAGCAACCCGGCGGCTCCTACGAACATTCCACGGTTCATATGACCGCATCCAATCGCGATGTTTCGGATCAAAACTCGGCCGAAAGTTAGGGTTTCTAGAGCGAGATTGCCGCGGGTGTAGGAGCCGTCACCATACGACACCTCGTACCGGCACCGGCCGTCGTTGCAGCCGGCGTTGTCGAGACGGCCGCATACCGACGAATCGCAGGAGATCCCAGCGTAGGAGGCGGAACTAGCCGGGTCGAACACCGGGTCAGATTGTTGGTAGCATTCGCTGCAGGGCTGGCATTGCACCCAAACAATGTCGCTGCCGGAATCAATCACCACGTATTGGCTCCTCGGCGGGCTGCCGACGCCGATCCTCACAAAGTACTCTCCGCTTCCCTGTTCCGTGCCGGAGATCACATCGGAGCCGAATTCCGTCACCTGCAAAGGTGGAACATACAAATTTTTACCTCCTAACCTTTTAAATATAATCTATACGGCCATTCAAAGGAAAAGCTACAAAATCTTGAGTATATTCATATAAATTCAAAGGAGGGCAATTGCCTCCCTCCCTCCCTCCCTCCTTCCTTCCTTCCTTCCCTGTCAGCTCCACACCCCCCC